GCTGCACCGCCTCCTCCTCCTGCGCCGGAGCCGAGCGCAGCAAACCACACACCGGGTCACCGAGGACAGCGCGCTCTCCCCCGGCTCGACCCCGCGCCTCTCCCCGCTCCTCTGGATGCGAGTCTCCGGACCGGGGACGCTTTGGATGGAGATTGGCCGCGGCGGACGGATCGTGCTGTAGGTAGGTGCGGCGCGGTGTCGCGGGGCTGCGGTGCGGTGCTGCGGGGAGGTGCGGTGCGGTGCAGCGGTGCGGCGGCGCTGGAGCTGGAGCTTGTTTTTGGAGCCGAGCTAAAGTTGCTGATGTGGGGGATGGGCCGCTCCGGAGGCTGGGCAAACTTTAACCAGTTCACCGGCGCGTGCGAGGCTCTCCCCGCGGGCAGCAGGGCTCTTCCGCCCGGACACTGCTCCCCCGGAACCCCCCGCCGCATTCCACAACTCTAGTTTTTGATGACCTTCGCTCAAATGGTCTGAGTTTGCAGATTTTTAGTCCAATTTTCAAGATTTTGAGCGCGGATTTTTGGAATGTTCTAAAAATGTGCACATGTCACGAAATCACACTGACACTTTAGTTTTGTTATTGTCAATCCTTCCAAACGTTATTTCTGTTCCAGGTCTGTAGAAAAACATCAGATTTATGACATTAGAAACATTTATTTTTCTTTGCAGAGGATTTTAATGTGAGTGAAAATATCGGTCAGATTCTGTGAAGTTAAAACCAATTTAGCGTCTTTTTTTGTTTGACTTTTTTCTATTTCTACGTCTATTAAACCCAATAATTATAATTTAAAATGTGTCTGAGATGAGCTTTTAGGATCATTTGGTAAACACTGCCTCATTTTTGGAGCCAGAGCCACAGGTGTCAGTGAATTGGACATTTTGTTCCGACGGTGGCTTCGTTTCGTTTCGAGCGTCTTTTACGCACAAGTTTCTCCACTTTGTCTCCTCGAACAAAAAGGAGTTTGGGTTTGTTTTTTTCTTTCTTCTTAATGACTCAACTTGTTATCAGTTTTCTGGACTTAAAAAACCCCGCGCTCGGCTGCTCCGGTCGGGACACGCTGCGCAGAAATGACCTGAGTTGGCCCCTGGTTGGACCAGTTTACCCCCGCCGGTCCGTCCAGCGCCCCGTACCCGCTGTACCCGCGCTCGTCCTGCCCCACACGGGTTAAACCTCCCTCCATCCCCTCCCTCCAGCCCCCTGCCTCCGGGTCCCGCGCTCCTCCGGGCCCTCGCCTCCTCCGCGCGGCCCCCGGCGGCTTTGGCTCCGTGTCCCGGGATGACCTGTTGATGTCGGCCGGAGACGGAGCGCCAGACTCGGCTGCTGCTGCTCCAGACGAGACGCCCCCCCGCTTCTCCCTCTTCCCTTCTCCCGCCTGAAGACTCAACATGGCTGTCGGTGTTAAAGTGAAATAAATAAAAAAAAAATCAGGCTATACCATAAGCGACATTTTGGGAGGGAAGGACGCGGCGCTGTCCCGTTTCAAATCCGCTTTTACGCGAAGCTCCACAAACTCAAAAAAAAACTCAAAACGCGGAACGTTCTCGCACTTTTACGCGGAAATTTGGGTTTTTTTTTCCCCCCTGCAGCTTGACTTGATCTCAGCCCCTTGACAAAACTGCATTGAAAAACGAGCGCAGACGCGGGACAGACACACGTTGTTCCCCCTCCAAAATGTCGCCGAGGGAGACGCGTGCTCCTCGGCCGCGGCGGCTCTGCGCGGCCCGGCGGCTCCACCAGCTCCGATGAAACTGCTAAATATTTCATCCCGGAGACTATTTTTGGTCGGATTGTCGTGCGGCGGTGCGGAGGTGCGGACACGCGGCGCCCGGAGCTGCTTCATTGTCCCTCCCCCCTCTGCGCTAAAGCCCCAGGAGGCGTCCCGGAGAGCGGCGTCCGACTGGCACACAGCGGGGCACGGTGCTCCCTGTGCCCGCCTCACGGTGCCCCTCTGCCCGCCTCACGGTGCCCTGCCCGCCTCACGGTGCCCCTCTGCCCGCCTCACGGTGCCCCTGTGCCCGCCTCACGGTGCCCCGGTGCCGCCTCACGGTGCCCCTCTGCCCGCCTCACGGTGCCCCGGTGCCCCCCGCTGCTCCTCACGTGAGACTTGTGTTCGTCTTGTGTTCGTCTTGTGTTCGTCTTGTGTTCGTCTTGTGTTCGTCTTGTGTCTTGTAAAACCTGGATCATGTTGGAAAGTTAAAAGGGTCTGAAATATTCAGGTTCGTGTTCTGATGTCACGTGTTTAACGCATAAACTCTGCACATTTAGACTGAGTTCCACCTGGTGATGTCATGTGGTGATACAGGAAGAGCTCCTCTGTGTTTTTAAACTCCACACATCTGCACTAGAATCACCTGGAAACTGTGAGCGGAGGGTTTTGGTTTTGCTTCATGTTCGTTCACAAACAGTTTTCTGTATTTTGACCAAACAAAAGACGATTTCTGCTTCTTTTTACTGTTGGTGAAGATCAGATCAGTCGCAGACTGTGATGGTCCAGGTTTAGACCTGTTTGGCTCCAGGTTTAGACCTGTTGTGGTCCAGGTTTAGACCTGTTGTGGTCCAGGTTTAGACCTGTTTTGGTAGACTGTTTTGGTCCAGGTTTAGACCTGTTTTGGTCCAGGTTTAGACCTGTTTTGGTCCTGGTTTAGACCTGTTTTGGTCCAGGTTTAGACCTGTTGTAGTCCAGGTTTAGACCTGTTTTGGTCCAGGTTTAGTTCTGTTTTGGTCCAGGTTTAGACCTGTTTTGGTCCAGGTTTAGACCTGTTGTAGTCCAGGTTTAGTTCTGTTTTGGTCCAGGTTTAGACCTGTTTTGGTCCAGGTTTAGACCTGTTTTGGTCCAGGTTTAGACCTGTTTTGGTCCAGGTTTAGACCTGTTGTGGTCCAGGTTTAGACCTGTTTTGGTCCAGGTTTAGACCTGGTTTGGACCAGGTTTAGTCCTGGTTTAGACCTGGTTTGGTCCAGGTTTAGACCTGTTTTGGTCCAGGTTTAGACCTGTTGTAGTCCAGGTTTAGTCCTGTTGTGGTCCAGGTTTAGACCTGGTTTAGACCTGGTTTAGACCTGGTCCGTGAGTTTATTCTAGTCTTTGTGTTTTTAATCTTGTTCTGATTTTGTTCTTGTTCTAAACAGAAAAAGAAAAATGAGAATCGAGTTTCGATATTAGTTTTAGTTTCGATTAGTGTTTGATTTTTCATATTTTTTTACAGCTCCGACTGTCTGTCTGAGTTTTATTTCTTTATAATTTACCACCACAGTTTTACACGTTTTTGACTTTTGCTGAATTCTGAACATTTCTCAGTTTTTTGGAGATTTATTTATGATTTAATTTGTAAACTGTATGGAAACAGATCTTTAATTCATATTTTTATTCCAAAACAATCAGAATCCTGCTTCACATCGTTAGAACCTGTGTGTCTGAACGACCCCCCCCCCCCCTCATCTCGACCCCCGGGGAGCGAGGAGGAGGAGGAGGGTCAGAGGTCAGAGGTTAAGCACCGTCGATTAGTCTCATTATATTTCCTGTGTCTGTGTGTTTAACCTTTGACCTGAGGACGTGACCCGTGACCTGAGTTCGTCTGTGGTTCAGTCTCAGCTTCGTCTGAGGCGATTTTCAAACACGAACATCGAGAAAACTTTAACCTCAAATATAAAAGCGGAAAACGTGCAGAATGTGATTTTAGTTTTTGGGCCTTTGTGTTCAGTCTTTGTCTTTATAAGTTTGTTTAGATGTTAAATTGTTCAGTGGTGCAGATTAAAGACGAGCATTTGATCACAGTTTCTTAGTCAATCGTCGGGAGAATTAACGATCCACTTTTTGATTAATCATGAGCGTTTTTATATGTGGCCCCAGAAGTAAACAACAAGACCAAAACTTCAAGTGAATTCATCTGATATAAAAGTGTATTGAACAGATACATATGTACTCGAGTTTATCAAACTGTTGACCTTTTTTCTGTTCCATTTTTGGTTGTAAAGTTCCATCTGTTTTAAACAGACCATGAATGAAACATGGAACAAAAATTATTTCCCAAATTTCAAAGACCCAAAAATCATGTAAATAAATGTTTGTATTTCATCATATCTTGTGTTATTCCATCTTTGAACTGTTGATGAAGGGACAGGATTAAAAAAAAAAAAGTATTTAAAAATAATAAAAATGTTCTTGGAAGGACTGACATATTTTATAGAAATAGTTTCTTTCATTTTGAAGTAATATTAAAATTTTCAGAAGAAAAAAGCCACAAATGATGTAAAATCCTGCACCTTCTACTTGTTTGTACAATTTTCCCTCCGTTACTTTTCCCTCCGTTACCATGAACTTTCTTAATAAAAAATCTCATGAGTCAAAAAGTCAGAGGTTTTTCAACCTAATCTTGTACCATATGGTAGAAAACTATATGAAGCAAATATTCAAACCAGTTTGTTAAGGATATGTAAGTGATACATATCGATAGTTTTGTTCTGGAACATCATGACACAATAGTTCTGAAATCTGACTGATTTCTTGGAGACGTCACAATCTGTGTGTCGTTCATTCAGTCGTTTTTCAATATAAAACCAAAAATAAGTAAACGGAAACATTTTAAACAGACCATGTATGAAACATGGAACAAAAATTATTTCCCACATTTCAAAGACCCGAAAATCATATAAATAAATGGATGTATTTACATGATTAAAAAAAAAAATAGTTTCTTTCATTTTGAAGTAATATTAAAAGTTTTCAGAAGAAAAAAGCCACAAATGATGTAAAATCCTGCACCTTCTACTTGTTTATTTATTTATGTATTTATTTGGGTCACATGTATATTTTGACATTAATTCACAAACGGTGATATTTAACACACACAGACTGAAAAGGTGTCGGCTGAGGTGAAGGTTTGGGTCGACACACTTTCCTCCACACGTCGATAAAGACGAGAGCATCGAGGCCGAATCCTCTAAACATACAGCCTTAAATATTCCAAACTGTCCTGGACCAAACGAAATATTTATTGAAAAATTTCATCAACATCTGCATGTTTTTCTTCTTTCGAGATCTGTAATGTTAAACTTTTCTTCTTAAAATAAATTGTTTAATAATAATTTTGCATAAACATTGAATCCAGAACAAGCAAAATATAAAAATAACAACAACATTTTAAATAAATCATGTCTCTATAGTCTCGAGAGGGTCACAACGAACGCAA